TTTCTGTGAGTTATTTGTATTTTCCCAAATTTTGTCTGTTTTCTTGAATTTGTTCATATTTGTTGATATGTTTAGGAAAAATGCTGGCTGACATTTCTCTGTTAATATGTGCATAGCACAACGTAATGACCAGTATTGTTTTATTTTTGCTTCCAAGCATCTTTAAAATTCCTCTGATTATTATTTGGATTTTTTGTGGATGATATGTTCAATAACAGAGTAGGATTGGAAAGTGTAGGGCAAATGCATTAAGATTAAATTTTAGTTTCAGCTTAAGCCTAGAGTCAGTATTAGAAGTTTTTGATTTGTGGAATTTCTGGAAATAATCAGGAGTTTCTTAACATTTAACTTTTTCTTTAACAAAGAGCCAACTTTCCTGAATAACTCATTTATGTTCATTAAAATTTAGAATCCAGGTTTTATAGGGAGGAAAAGCCAGCAGTATAGAAAGAAACAAGTGAACTACTTGTAGACAATACATTCTTTAAACCCCACTTTGAAATTTACTTGGCAAATGTGAACTGGTGTTGGTGCTCTCACAGGACTAGTTGCAGAAGAGGTTCTGCAGTATTTAAGAACAGTGGCTCTCTGTCTCTACCCTCATAGCCAAAGCAGGACTATGCAAAAAGAACAAATCTAGAAGCATCAGATTACCCGACTTCAAACTGTAGTATAAGGCCATGGTCACCAAAACAGCATGGTACTGGTATAAAAATAGTCATACAGACCAATGGAACAGAATAGAGAACCCAGAAATAAATCCAAATACTTAACAGCCACCTGATCTTTGACAAAGCAAACAAAAACATAAAGTGGAGAAAGGACACCTTTTGCAACAGTGATGCTGGGATAATTGGCAAGCCACATGTAGGAGAATGAAACCTGATCCTTATCTCTCACCTCATACAAAAATCAACTCAAGATGGATCAAGGACTTAAATCTAAGACCTGAAACTATAAACACTCTAAAATTAATATTGGGGGAAAAAAAAAAACACCTAGACATTGGCTTAGGCAGAGTTTTTTTGGGTGACCAAAAACCCAAAAGCAAATACAACAAAAACAAAGATAAATAGGTGGAACTTCATTAAAATGAAGAGCTTCTGCACAGCAAACAGCAGAGTAAACAGACAACCCACAGAGTGGGAGAAAATCTTCACAATCTGTACATCTGACAGAGGACTAATATCCAGAATCTACAAGAAACTCAAATTAGCAAGAAAAAAACCCAAACCATTCCATCAAAAAGTGGACTAAGGACATGAATATGACAGTTCTCAAAAGAAGATATTGAAATGGCCAATAGACATATGAAAAAAAGCTCAACATCACTAATGATCAGGAAAATGCAAATTAAAACCACAGTGTGATACCACCTGTGATGATTAATACTGAGTGTCAACTTGACTGGATTGAAAGATGCAAAATATTGATCCTGGGTGTGTCTGTGAGGGTGTTGAAAGGAGATTAATGTTTGAGTCAGTGGGCTGGGAAAGGCAGATTTACCTTAATCTGGGTGGGCACAATCTAATCAGCTCCCAGTGTAGCCAGAATAAAAAGCAGGCAGAAGAACATAAAAGACTAGACTGGCTTATCCTCCCAGCCTAATCTTCCTCCTGTGCCGAATGCTTCCTTCCAACATAAGATTCCAAGTTCTTCAGCTTTGGAATTTGGACTGGCTTCTTTGCTTCTCAACTTGCGGATAGCCCATTGTGGTACCTTGTAATTGTGTGAGTTAATACTCCTTAATAAATTTCCATATATGTGTGTATATATAGATGTACATATCTATATAGACAGACAGATAGATACATATATCCTATTAGTTCTGTCCTCTAGAGAACCCTGATACAATACCTTACTCCTGCAGAAATGGTCATATAAAAAAATAAAAATAAATCGATATTGGTGTGGTTGCTGTGGAAAGGGAAAACTTCTACACTGCTGGTGGAAACATAAACTAGCACAACCACTATGGAAAACAGTGAGAAGATTTCTGGAAAGAACTAAAAGTAGAACTACCGTTTGATCCAGCAATCTCAGCACTGGGTATCTACCCAGAGGAAGGAAAGTCATTATATGAAAAAAATATATATATAGCTCCGGAGCTATATATATGGGAATTTATATTTTTATTTATATTTGATATTTTTCTCTGCATATAGGTATGTGGTCTATTGTTTTCTGTTTGCCTAAAGATCCATTTTGATTTTGAGGGAAGTGCCTTTTGACAGCACAATTAGACTCCTTAATAAATTCACACACACATAGATAGATAGGTAGGTAGGTAGGTAGGTAGGTAGGTAGATAGATAGATAGATAGATAGATAGATATAGATAGATGGAGTATTAACTCACACAATCACAGGGTACCACAATAGGCCATCTGCAAGCTGAGAAGTGAAGAAGCCAGTCCAGATTCCAAAGCTGAAGAACTTGGAGTCTGAAGACTGAGTAGTATTCATATATATGATATATATATATATGTGTATATATATGTATAAAATGGATATATATGTGTGTGTTTATATATATTTACACATATATACAATTGAATACTACTCAGTTATAAAAAGGAATGAATTAATGGCATTTGCAGCAAGGTGGATGGAACTGGAGACTATTATCCTAAGTGAAGTAACTCAGGCATGGAAAACCAAACATGGTATGTTCTCACTCCTAAGTGGGAGCTAAACTATGAGAATGCAAAGGCATAGGAATGATATAGTGGACTTTGGGTACTTGGGGGAAAGGTTAGGAGATGGGTAAGGAATAAAAGACTACAAATTTTGTTCATTGTATACTGCTCAGGTGATGGGTGCATCAAAGCCTCAAATCACCACTAAAGAACTTACTCATGTAAGCAAATACCACCTGTTCTCCAAAAACCTATGGCAGTGGGGGCGGGGAACAGTAGCTCTGGAGCTACATTGCCTGAGCTGAAATCCTATCCCAGGCACTTAATTAACTATGCAGTTTGGGCCAGGACACTAAAATTCATTGTAACTCAGTTTCTTTGTCTACATAAAGGGGAAAATATTGAAGCATAATTTGTAGGATTATCATGATGATTAAATTAATTGATATATATTAAGATGTCGAACAGACAAGGCATGTAGTGAGCATTCATACATTTTACCTGTTAGAGATCACTTAATTATTTATAGATTTTATTTTAGAAAACAATCACATTTTTGAACCCATTTCATTGTATAAGGATAGGAGCTGGGTCTAGCTTACACATCATTATATTTTTAGGCAACCACAATGCCTTATACAAAGTACATGCTTAATATTTACTAAATAAGTAAATAAAAAGTCTATCTTCCTGTGGTGTTTTTCTCTGCATATATGCATGTGGCCTATGGTTTTCTATTTGCTTAAAGATACACTTTGATTTTTAGGGAAGTGCCTTTTGATAGCACAATTAGATTTGAAGCAGGAAATCATGGTTTGTTCCTTTTAAAATTATGACACAAGTTATCCTGATATGCATGAATAAATTTATTTTCTTGACTCACTTTAAGTTAAATTTCTTCTGACAGCTTTTGTCTCTCCATAAAATAAAATTTAAAAGAAAAATATTGTCATCCAAAAAAAGAGTAAGCCAAATCGTAGAACATACTGAAGAAAAACATCACATTTAAGAACATTCATTAATTTCCATGTAATTTGAATAGCTGGATATTTGTATACTTAAGAAAACATAATAACAACAAAACATACATGTGATTTACCGGGAATGTTATTAGATATTATGTAGTTAGAAAAGCTGGAAGAATGTTACTTAGCCTTTATGTCCTTAGAAAATAAGTGTATCCAATATTCACATTTAATTTACTAAAAAAAGATAATTAAATATTGGTAAGTACTTCTTAAATACTAAAAATAGTACATATATTTTAAAATAACAGATATGTGGCATACAATGCTATTTAGAGCTTGAGCATAATAGATGTTTTATGATACATTTTATGTCTTATTTTCATTATGAAAAAGAAAAGCCATTGTTTCCTTTCCCTTGTCTTGTTTTTCTTCTTTCCTTCTCTTCTTTCTCTTTCCTTCTCTTCTTTCTTTCTCTTTCTTTTTCTCTTTTTCTTTTCTTTCTTTCCTTCCTGACTTACTTCCTCTTTCTGTTCTTTCTTCCTTTTTCTTCCTTCCTTCCTTTCCTTCCCTTCTCCCTCCCTTCTTCTGCTCTCCCTCCTTTCCCTTCCTCCCTTCATCTCTTTCTCTGTCTTTCTATTTTTTTGAGACAGGGTCTCGCTCTTTCACCTGGGCTAGAGTGCAATGCCATGCTCACGGCTCATTGCAGCCTCGACCTCCTGGGCTCAAGTGATCCTTCCACTTTGGCCTCCCTAGTAGCTGGGACTACAGGTGTGTGCCATCATGCTCAGCTAATTTTTGTATTTTTTGTAGAGATGGGGGGTCTTGTTAGGCTCCTAGGCTGTTCTTGAACTCCTGGGCTCAAGCAGTCCACCTGCCTGAGCTTTGCAAAGTGCTGGAATTACAGATGTGAGCCACTGTGCCCAGCCATTTCCTTTAATTAAACACTAATGCCACTGGTTTAAAACATTAACAAAGACATTATTATAGTATGAGATCATAGATTTATTAGGTTTAATAAACAGGGTCTGAATAATGCAATGTATACATTGTGGAAAGTTTGGAGTTAGAGAAAATATGTAGTTCTATTCCTGATTATACTTTTTCCTGTTTACTAGAATCACTACAAGAATACAATGCTAACACATCCACCTTTGGGAATCATGATAAATTTATTGATTGTGTAAATAAATTAAGATACCATTTGAGGCCTGGCACAGTGGCTCACACCTGTAATCCCAGCACTTTGGGAGGCCAAGGTGGGTAAATAACAAAGTCAAGAGATCGAGACCATCCTGGACAACATAGTGAAACCCCATCTCTACTAAAAATACAAAAATTAGCTGCACATGTTGGCATGCGCCTATAGCCCCAGATACTTGGGAAGTTGAGGCAGGAGAATTGCTTGAACCTGAGAGGTGGATATTCAGAGCAACATAAAGGCCTAAAGATAGTTATGTATCCAGAAGTCTTTGCAATGCTGTAGTAGTAATCTCTTGATGATGATGATTTATCCAGGTGCAGTAGTTGAATACAGATATGTGTATTAAAGGCTTTTTCTCCTGCCCTACTTCTTTGCTCTTTCTTTCTTGTTTTGTTTTGCTTTATTTTTGGTTGTGTTGTTTTGTTAGTATAGTTGTTTATATGAGTGTTACTGTAATTAATATAGTTGATAGTTTTTCAGTATTTTTTACTTACTCCAATTTAAAGTTTCATCATTATGACATACACAGTAATTTGGCTTGCATAATGCAAGTGCTATAGCCAGTTGTTATTTGAAGTAATTGAATAACGGTTAGTAGAATAAAATAAAAACTGCTCTACTTCTAGCAATTTAATTTTGCTGTTGTATTATAAAGGACCCAAGCGAGTTTATACATATTGCTCTTCTTTATCTGCTTTTAACTACCAGATTCTGCTAACTAAAAAACTGATAATTTTTCTGTTAAGTCTCTAGAATATACCAAATTTTAGACTTCTGTATATTTTCATTTCGAGTGTTAAAAATATTCCATTCTAATAATACCACACATTTGTTCAAAGTAAATGTATTAGAGTAAATGGAAAACAAAACTTCCCTATGAATGAATTCATCAAGTAAATGAATAAAATAGATAGAATGCAAATGTCCCAGTTATTTATATTCTGATATTTGACTAAGATACATGAAAAATAATTTCTCAGGACTTCACATTGCTTGATGACAATGTAACTTGATTCCAATTGTCATATAAAACAATAGTTTCTGTTTTGCTTCCCCAAATTTTGTCACATCCAATCCAGCAGAGATGATGTATGATCCACCACAAATTAGGGAAAACAACGGTTCGTGTCAGCTGAATCTGAAAATACATTTGTTATATCTCATTTCTTTGGTTTCCTTCATTAAAGAATACACTCCGTGGGTCCAATTCAGATTGTACATTATTGTTCAATCTCCCAGAGCAAAACACTATTATGTTGCCTTTCCCCCCAGTTAATGGCATTCCATTGGAAATTAAATTAACGCATTTTATGCAGAATTGTTTTGAATTGACAAAAATCAGCATGAGAAGTAAGTAAAAATTTAATATATTTCCTAAGGGTTTAAACTAATGGTGTAAACTCAGTAAATGAACAAATTAAGAATGCTAGTGTCAAATTGGCCACTTTTAGTTAAAACTTACCAGTTTTGTTATCTCATCATTATGAGCCAGCTCCTATGATGCTTACCAAAATCTAACATTATTTTACAAATTTGTTTGTTTAATATCCATCTTTTTAGCACTAGAAATACGCTCTCTGAGGGTAGAAATGTTATTCTAAATTACCCCCCACTAATTTTTAATTGGCTTTCTTTCCCACTACAAGAATATAATCTCTGTGATGGTAGGAATTGTTATGTTTTATTCACCACAGTGTCACAGTGCCTAGAATAGTGCCTGACACACATTTGGAATTTAATAAATATTGGTTAAATAAGGGAAATATTTACTGGATATTCACAACTAGATATACACAGCATACTAATAAACTTATGTAACTTTGGATTTTAGATAAAGTCCAAATTAATAAGGATCTGCCCCTAAGACGCTGAAGGCTCAAATGAAATGCTTTTGTTTTCATAAACATGATGAGATTGTATCCTTAAAAATATGATGAGATTGCATCCCTAATATGTTGTTTTGAGCATTATCCCAATGCTTACCAGAACACCTTCTTATGTTAGACCCAAGTTCTGGCATGAGGAAGTTTCCTCTATCTCAAATCCTGACTTAGTTTAAAAAAAAGAAATCCAAAAAGTAAAAAGTTTTGGGAGCTGGAATTCCCTTTTGATGTCCATCTTTAAAATTAAAGAAGCTGAGGTTTGAAAAGGCTGTTAGATTGCCCAAGTCACCATGGGTATTTTGAAAACTGCATGCCATTATACATTTTTTTTTTTTTAATGGAGAAAAGGGAAAACTACCATCAGCACAAAGAGAAGAAAATGTTATCTATGGTGATCTCCTTGATGTTAAAGATGGTATTTTCTTCAAAAAGGGATTTAAAAAAATATGATTGATTTCAAATACATCAACTCTCCATTTATAATGGTAGTAGGGTGGGGAAAGAGGCTGGTAAGAGGTGCGACTGCTATTGTGATCATATTGAATATAGGAAGTTCAGACATCTGTTCTGAAAATATTGATTGCTATAAGGTAGTTTAGGGTTGACATGTCTTGGAAGGGTAGGAGAGAAGAACTCTTAATCTGTGTGACCAAGGCTGCAAGGAAGCAGGTGAGGAGCCAGATGCTACTGCTCCCAACTGTCTGCTGATGTGCAGCATGGAAAAGGAAATTGTCATCAGGAAGCTTCTATTCAGTGTTTTCATGTGAGTGTATATACCTCACTTTCCCTGAAACCCCAAACATACACCCACACATGGTAATGTTCCAGATCCTTAATACAAACCATTAAATATAAATGTCCTTTAGAATGTTCCCTCATTGAAAGGTTGTTCCCTGGTGTCTATTTATGAAACTACAAAACTCGGTAGATGATTTGGACTTTTATCTTATCTTCACCACCCACTAATGTGGACTTGGGCAATTACTTCTTCTCACTAATTTCCCGTATCTCCTCTTTAAAAGAGAGACACCAATAGTACCTACCTTACTGGGTATGTTAGAGGACATAAACCCATAAATACTGTGATTAACACATAATATGTGCTCAGTAGATATTAGTGATGGATATTATGATGATAGTGACAATGACAATAAAGAGGAACTTTCATTCCACATTTCTGATGAGAAAAATGATCAGAAAGTCATCATAACATCCAAACTATAATATGTTTCCCAGTTTGTTCAACCCATGTTTCTATTTTAAAGATGTGCAGAGTGAGGCTCAAAAAGATGAAGAGTTGCCTAAGTGTACAAAATATGTTAGTGATGCTGGGAGATGGGAGGTGTTTCAGAAGTGCAGTTAAATTTTTTTAAAATAAAGGTGGTAGGTTTGAACATTCTGATTTTCAATGCTGGTTCTACCATTTCTTAGCTAAATAAATAAATTTTGAGAAAAATTCTTAAATCTTATTATCTTAATTTTTCTCTGTGGCCAATGGCTACAATAATGATAACATGAACTTCATAGGGTGGTTGGGAGGACACAGTGGGGAAAAATGCAGAGAGGGACACTTTCTCCATAGGTGCCCCCAGAGAAAATATTATAAATACAATGAATATTTAACCACATTATTGCAGTAAATATTGTGATGGGTTTCCTCACCTTTATTTGGCAGCGACTAATGAGATGATGTCCGAATGCAATTCCGTGAAAGCAGTTCTAGAATCAGCCAGTCCAGTGTGTTCCAGTTTTGCCTCTTTCTGCTTCATCCCACGACTAGACATTCAAAAGCCAGAAGAGTTTGCTATGTGTATTGCATCTTAGATTCCTTTCTCTGGTAAATCATGGGAACCAGTGGCAAACAGAGCTTAAAAGAGTAGCCCAAAGAAGAGGCTCCCCATCTTTTGGTGGAATTTGAGGCCACCTTTCCTAGAAGGAAGCCTGAGCAAATGCTGATTAGACTAAAAACAAAAACAATACAACAAAAAAAACTCCACATGGGCAGACAAGAGAATGTACCTGATTAAGCTGTCATTGACAGCAGTTGCCACTACTTGGACAGGTAGTCATTTTTCATGTCTTTATTCTCTTCATCCTCACAGTGAACAAGGGAACATAAAATACATGTGTTCATTTTTTTCTTACGCTTTAAGAATGAACTTTCTTACCTGGTAATAGACAAATAAACCTAGTGAAAAACATGGACATGAGAAGTCAATGTTTACAGAATGTTGTGTAGGAAGGATCAGCTTCTGTAGGCCCCAACCTCCACCTGCAATTCTATGCCGGTGTGGCCAGAAGAGACCTGATAAAGAACACTGCACATTTTTTAGCTCTCCTGCCCATAGCAAATAATGTTGACACATCACAACTTTTAGGAAGTCTTCAAGAAAAGAGAAGGGGGAACTTCCCCAAAATGTCAGACTCACTTACCCCAGAGTTGGCTGGGAACAGATCACAAGGAAAAATGTTTTTTTAAAAAGATGCCTGATCCTCTGCATTTTAGCCAGCCAAACCTTGCTGATTATCTGTTCATTGTAATGTTCAGTATTGCTTGCCAGAGAGGTTTTCTTTTGTAGAAATGTTGTTGGTCTTGTTTTTAATAGTCATTTCTCAGGCAAAATGTGAGTGAAAAGGAACACGGAGTCATAAACATGGAGCTGGAAAGGATATTATAGGTCATATTTAAGAAGGCATACACACACACACACATAATTTTAGTAGAGTCACTGGCATAATAAGTGCTATAGAAATTTAGCTATCAGTATCATTATTAATAGTACTTCTATTCCTACTTTTGTTCATGGGTCAGAATCACCTTGGTTGCTTATTACAATTCAGATTCCCTGGCTCCTTCTCAGACTTACCAAGCTAAAATTGTACACATCCTGGGGAATCTGTAGTTTGAGGGAGATCTCAGTTTATTCCAATGCTGACAGCCAGGCAGTAAGCCACAAAATGGAATTTAGCAACCACTGACAAACTCACCTTCCTTTTTAGGCAGGGAATAAATTGAGACTTGGAGACATTAAGAAACCACCTTTTTTTTCTTACAGATTTTTTTCTTAAGTCTAGATTTTTCATATAAACTACCACAAATCCTTTTTCTCCAAGAGTACCCTTTAGGAAATGAATAAAAATGACTCGCCTAAGGTAGCACAATCAGTTAGTGGCAGACTAAGGAATAAATCCTCCTTGTTTTCCACTGCCAGTTCATGTTTTCTCCCTAGAACCACACACCCTTCCTCAGTTAATGCCACTTGCCCTAAAAGCAAGGTTGTTGCTTGTGTGCAATTAAACTGAATCCCATCTAACAATGAAATGCTACCTTAAAGCCCATGGCGTGGGAGTGAAGACTTTTTGCAACAGCCTTTTACTCAATTCTAGCTTCAGGTTTCCTATATGTATTGCCATCCTCCATGCTTTTCAAACTTTTAAAATCCAGTAGCAGCTATTGCACAGGGCTTTATCCACAGTGTTAGGGCAGAATGGAAAAAGCAATTGTTGATGTCAGTAGTAAACTCATTCAAGCATTGCTCAATTTTGTCTCGCAAATCTTAGACAAAAGATTATTAATATATTCACAAAGAAGGCACTTGACATTTTTTATCATTCTGCTCTGCTTTTGTCAGCACAACAAAATTTAAAATAAACTCTAGATCAGATTATATTTATAGTTTAAATCAAAATCTACCCTTATTGTTGCTTCATTCAAAGGCACTTAGGTGACCAGCAGGCCTCTTTCCTTATAAGTGACTGGAACGGCAAACTTTAATAGAAAATTTCCTCCCACTCTAGAACAGTAGATAATTCCTGAGTAAAGCTTACTCCAGCTGCATACATTTTGATGTTTCATGGGAAAATCATGTAGACACATTATTGTACACTGCTTAAGGCAACCGTTTTGAACTTGTTTTCTGCATTTTACTTTTCCTTTATTCCGATTCTGGTGTTTGTGATAGCTTAGATTTATATAGCATAGAAGCCCCAATAAAGAAAGAAGTATAGAATTTCAGTGCTGGGAATGAGATAGATGGTGATAAATAGATACTTGATCCGATTAATAGACCTGATTTTCACAGCATCTTTTTTTGTCTTGTAAACATTCAGCTTCTCTTATTTAAAAAAATAACATAATAAAGGATCGTTCTTGATGCGGTTCTGGATCCAGTATAAATTGAAGCATGTGGAGGCCTTAGAGTACAGGGGCTGGGCAGAGCTTCCTCATTAGTTGTCCCATAGCATAGTGGGTCCTAGACTTGACCTTCACAAACCAGTAGTAATGGTTTATGACTTTCGCACACGCACACACACACACACGCCACACACACCTCTTTGAACCAGCACAAGGTTGCCAATATTTAATTTTGCCAAGTAAAGACATTGAAACAAATAGCCTAGCAAAATCTATTAATGTCATTTTATTTAAAAATATATTTAACACCAAAAAACATAATCTTAATGGGGGAAACAATCTTGTAATTCTGGTTATTCAGTTGTATAGGGAAAAAAAAACTCCCTACACGGTCCAAAAAACAATTTTTTTTTTACTGTGAAACATTGAAAATCTCATTATTGATAGTCACCGAATCCCTAATTAACAGTCTTTTCCCTAAACCCCTCAATACCCAGCTCTTTTCTACAGGCTTATCAGGATCACATTGATGTGTATTACCTTCAGAGGAGGTAGTACCTTCTGAAGGTAATGCACTGAGCCTTACCTTCAGAGGAGGAATGAACTACAGTGGTCAAGGTTGGTCACCAATGTAGTGATGGCAACAAAGCCTTAAAACTCCTCAGTGCTTTCCTCTGCCACAGCCTCTGGGAATCTCTACCTGAAATCAGACAGGAACATCCCACAAGAAGCAAAGGAAATGTCACAGATCAGAAACAAATATTATCTTAAAGATGACATTTCATGCCCTACATAAGTAAGCCATTTTATTACTTAAATTTAATGACTATCATTTTTCCCATTTGTATTCTGTGTTTACATTACACGGATCTTTTGTGAAGATTGTGAGAATATATGTAGCATAGTTCCTGGCACAGTAGCAGCTCTCGATCCTTGTTAATTCCTTTTCTTCCTCATTCTGTCATGTTTTTAGCAAAGGACACATATTAGGGGCTTCTGTGTGGGTTTGCTCTATAACCTCTGCCTTTGAAATACCTTGGACCAGTAGATATAAACTCTAGAATCCTCATAGTATTCATAGAACAAGGGCTTTGGACTAGGCAGACCTGGTGTGGAATCCTAGGTATATGACCTTGGGTGATTTGTGTGACCTCTCTCAATTTTATTAATAGTTTCCTCACCTGTAAAATGGGAATTATATCATTTATCTCAGAGAGAAGTTACGAGAATTAAGTGGAGATACAAAGTGGAAAGGACCTAACCAATACTAAGATTTAAATAAAGTGTTAGCTTTAAGAAACCTGAAAGGAGGGGTAATTTGAATGATAATTTCACATTGCTTTGACTACCGTGGCAGCTCTAACGAATAGAACTGTCTGTGATAGTAAAAGTATTCTATTTTTGTCTGATGTGGTGGATACCCACTGTGTGCTACTGTTGAACATGTAAAACATAAAACTAAAGTTTTAGTTTTAATTAACTTAAATTTTAATAGTCACATTTAACTAGAGTCCATGATCTTGGACAGCACAGGAATAGAAGCTATATGACTTTTTAGTATCTCAACTAGTCATCAAAATGGCAAAAAAGTGAGTTCTGAACACTTTGCCAAGGACCAAAGTTGTGGCCAAATTAAGACTCTTTCTTCTAATGTAAGCAAGTAACATTATTCTCTTGACTATTCAAATTTTTAAATGAATATGTATGTTTTTGTAGCCATCAATGAAGGAATAGAAAAATGTGGCTAAGTATTCTTGTTTAAGAGAACTGGATTCAGATGAAGATTGTGTGAATGATTTTGTCACAGAAGGCCAAAAATCTTTAGCACCAATAGTTTAGGGACTTTCCACTTCAGTATGCCCTGCAAAATTCTCATGTCATCCTTTATGATTGTCCTCCTTTGGATCATTTCATATATTAACTGTCAATGAGAAGGGCAAGAGCATGTAAAATGCCTGCATCTGAAAAATGTGACCCTTGGGAAGACTTAGGAAGTCTCAAACCTTAAAACTGGAATCATTTCCTTTGCTTCTTATTTATAAAGTTAATTAGATTATATCCTTAGCACTTTATCTAAAAATAAAGATCTATCAAAATATTTTTAAGTATTTTCTAAAAGTCAATTTTGATCTATATTGTTACATTATAACAAATTTACTTTTTAATTTTTTTAATTATTATTTTACTTTATTTTCTCGGGTATATGTGCAGAACATGCAGGTTTGTTACATAGGTATACACATGCCATGGTAGTTTGCTGCATCTATCACCCCATCATCTACATTAGGTATTTCTCCTAATGCTATCCCTCCCCTAGTCCCCCATCCCCCAACAGACCCCAGTGTGTGATGTTCAAAAAAATATTTGAAAGATGGGCAGGAGATATATTATGAGAATATTTATGCACGAATGGATGCTTACAAAGTTCAATTTTTATAGAAGCTTTATCCCTCCTTTTAAAGCCTGTGTGATTGGGGATGCAGACAAGGTGAGTTTGGCAGGTCACTCTAAGGAGAAGGAAACTTTTATCTCTAATCTTTAATGGATTCAAACTTGGCTTCAATTTGGAAACAGGAAAAAGTTTGGCAGCTGCAGTAAGACTAGTTGAAATGAGATGCTATTTCCTCACCTTCCAGGATTCAGATTGCAACTGACTCATGGTTTTCCTGGAATGCCCAGCACTGCATGCCGCTTGAGTTGGCTCTTCTGAGCTTGGTAGGTGAAAGCGGGGAGTAATGGTTTCCCCGCTAAGTTCTAAGTAGGCACTCCAGGTTTCTCTGGAAAGTTGTGAAGGCAGCAGTTCCCCAGCTCTCTGGATTTCCACCAATCCAATTCTTGCCAGCAGTCATTATAAAGTCTCAGAGTACGATTATTTGTCAGATTTCTGTCATTTTAAAAGAAACTAAGTCTCTTTCAATGCAGGTAACATATCTTTTTCATCTTTTATGTGTATCTGTCTGGCTGGAAACAGCATTGTTATCTTTATTGCAGTGCTTTATGGGAAAAAAATTCTTCCTTTAATGTTCATATTGAATATAGGACTAATTTTGGAGGTCACCCAGAAAAGCAGACATATGACACAGTGATCACCCACGCAGGACAAACTTTGGCTCCGTGCTAAGGTTTGTGGCCAAACTGGGTAGCTCCAAGGGCAGAACAAGCTGTAATTTCCAAAACTGTGTTGTGATGTCAATCAAGAGCACTTTTATGAATAGAGGCATCTCTTAAAATAGTGCTGTTGGTTTCCATAAATTAAATGATGTTGATTGGTTGCATGTGAAATGGGAATAAGAAGCTGAATTGGATAATTTTAACATTTTCTGCACTTTATCTGGTTCCATCTTGACTAGATTTATGGTTCAATCCGTTTATGTCTCTGAAAAAGCAGATTACCATATAAGTCATCGTAAACACATTCTTTTCTCAATACACCCTGATTATTTTAACATATTTGTGCTTTTTACTTCAAACCCATCAGCATGCATAATTCTGAACTAATTTTGTCAAAGTTACATTGCTTTACTTTTTCAAGAAAGAGAGTCTTCAGCTCAAATAGTCATGGTAAACTGGGGAACATGATTTAAAATCAGTATCATCAGGCCATATATTATAAACAGAAGCAAAGCAAAACTGCTGTGGTATCTGCAACTGTACCACATACTGTAGTGATATTTTAAGGATCACATGCACAGAAAATCGTGTGGTGTTTTGTTTTTGTTTTAAGAGACAAGGTCTTTCTCTGTTGCCCAGAGTGGAGTGCAGTGGTGAGGTCGTAGCTCACTATGGGCTCAAGTTCCAGCATAGCTCTAACTCCAGGGCTTAAGCGGTCTTCCCACTTCTGCTTCCTGACTAGCTAAAACTACATGCATGCACCATCATGCCTGGATAACTACTTAATTTTCTTGTAGAGATGGAACTTGCTTGTTGCCCAAGCTGGTTTCAAACTCCTGGGCTCAAGAGATGCTTCTGCCTAGGCCTCCCAAAGCACTGGGATTACAGATGTGAGCCATCATTTCAGAAAAAAAAATACAAATATTTGTTTTCCCTGAGATTGGTTATTAATGTGTAATAAAAGCGTTATAAATGCCAAACATCATTTTATGACCTATGACAAAGTACTAGAAGTATCAGTTACACATATGCTAGGTTCTAGATACTACATGTAAGTGCTTGAACTACATTATCTCTTTGGAGTTGCACAGTAACCCAGCAGGGCCGGTGCTTTGTATTCTTTATATACAGATGAGGAAACTGAGAGCCCGTAAACAGCAGAGCTCTAAGTAAATGAGGGCAGTCTAAAATCTGAAGCCCTGCACTGGAACATGTTACACTGCCTTTAACTATATAAAATAGTAGTTCTTCTAGCTGAGAAAGTTGTTTTAGCATCATCTTGTTTCAGTGACAAGTTGGGAAAGAAAAGCTAATAAGCATTTTCTTTTTCATCTGGGCAAGCTACATAAAATTGTGATTCTCCTTTACCATTACATTTCGCTTTCAGCATCCACATAAATCATGGTGAAAGAACAGATAAATTCATTTAGAGACATGAATTTTGGTTAAAATAAGCCTAGGTTATAGAAGTATTATAGCCATGATCAAACAAACTGATGACTAAGCAAACTATATTATTTATTTTAGATGAGAAAGCTAAATAATAATCATGACCAATATAAATTGAAATAAGACTTTTTGAACTGTATAGATGGACTGAACTCAATACAGAAAATTACTTAATGTGTATGAACACTTTCTTATCTGTCATATCATACGAAGCCTTTAACATCTCAATACGTCCTTAGGAGAAAGAAAGGTCACGTATAATTATCTCCTTTTGATGGGTGAAAATCTAACTTTCAGGATTTCTCTCCTAATAAGTGGCCAAACTACAGTTTCAACCTTGATCTCTTCACTCAAAATTTAGGCCTTAATTTATTCCATCACTTGACTTCTCAAAGCATTAGCCTTCCTTTCTGCTTTGACAGGTTCAGTACCAAAGTAAGTGAAAAAGCAAGCCTTGGAATCTGGAAAGTTTATAAGCAAATGACCTCTGTGGACAGTGTTAACTGTTTGTGTCAAGGCAAATTGGAGATGTTGAAAGTTTGAAGACAATTGCTTTTATTTTCTTTCTGATGTTTTATTTTTCAGTGCCTTCCTCCTTAATCACTTTTTTCCTATTAAAATATATTCATCTTTTATCTATGATAAGAGCTAAGGGACATTTTATGACATCAGAGTCTTAATTTGAGCACACTAAAAAATGAGTGGAAGCTCACGATGTCTCCTGTAAAAACATTGCATACTTTATTAGCAGGTTGAGTCTCTTCTGGACTGTAAAATGACAAAGCACATGTTCCCCGCTAAGGAATGAAAAGCAAAACAAAAATACAAAAAAATAAAATCCAGAAGAGTAATACATTTCCTCTTGTAGACTAAGTCCAAAGAAAGCACACACACACACACACACACACACACACACACACAGTGGTAACAGGTTGGAAGGGACACTTCAAATTAATACAAGAACAGAAGATGTAAAATTAGTAATCAAACTGGGAGCCTTTTGTGATGAGAGCAGCAAATGCGCTTGAGTATCTCAGAAGATAACAGGTTACATTCATTTTTCCTTGGTAGCTAATTTAACTCTCCTGTTTTATAGCTCACATGCCTCTGTCCTTGCATTATTAGCTAAGTCGACATTTCTCACGGAAAGGTCGTCCTTAGTGGTGATCATTTGCTGCTACATAAAGCAAACAACACTGCACATACATACACACACACACACAGGAATTTTTTTTTAAATTGATGACACAGAGAATTAGCAGTTTCTTGCTCACTGCCTTGTCAACATCTTGGATTTTTATCTCTAGTAGCCACTGCTGTGGCCTGCCTTTAATGACTCTACTTTATGTTTTACCATAGCTGCTACTAAGGTGTGTTTTATTTTTTCCCCACCACAAACTATTCTTTACAGAAGAATGTTAATTAGTAACTGATAGACATAAAGATTGCCAGCGACAGCCCATTAATTCCATTTACTTTAATAGGACTTAGAACTTAGCTTGCAGTACAGCTGTATTCAGACTGGATTATAAATGTAATTTTTTGCATCATTAACTTCCCTGATTAATCTTAGACAGCAAATGCATAATTTTCAGGGGAAAAAGCCACCCAGTATTTGCAGCAAGGAGTCCGGCTTTAAAAGTTGTGCTTTTGCAGCCTTCCTATTAACATGATTGCAAGTAGCACAGGTTTTTACAAGATAAAGATTGCTTACCATTGCTTAACGGTTAACCAGGTATTTCCTGCTTCGGAAAATAATGTGTGTGTGTGTGTGTGTGTGTGTGTGTGTGTGTGTGTGTGTGTGTACGTACGTACGCGTGCCTATGTGCACAGTATAAGCACACAGGCACATAGCTTTGCTTACCTACAATGTTATTCACTTACAATGATTTTGCATAGTAATAGCATAGTGTTAAGTGGTTTGCATGTGTAGCTTTCCCTTTCAGGGCTCTGGGTCCCTTGTCAATGCTGCCTCTTGACACTGTTATGGAAAATGCCTCTTGCTGAGACATTTCAGGGGTTAAGTGTACTGGCAAGCATTGTGTCACAACCACCCATGTCCCTGTTGGGTATATGACTCAGGATTCAGCCTATCCGGCAAAAATGAAACTCAGAATCAGATAGATTAAGGGCATTCAAATAAGAAAACTAGTGGGCTGAGACTGAAATATTTTGCCTGGCATTCAGTGCTACACAATGCTAAAAGGACAGGCTGATGTGCTAAAGGGAAAATGCCCTGGCATACAGGTAGTATGAATCCCAGGCTGTATGCAATAGCTGCTTTGAAGGGTGCCAATCATTGTCTTGTTAGTATAAAATGGCACTTTATTCACATAAAGCTTCCTGCTAGGGAAGATGAGAAAAAAATCTCACCCCAATCTTGTGCCTGTCACTGAAAAGAGCCACTAAGAGGGGATTTCGGAGATGAGGGCAGAGGAAGAGAAGGTTTTAAAAATTCTCTTCTTTTTAGGACTTTTCTGTAATGAGCTATGATGATTCATTTGATTAGTGGTCAGCCCCATCTCAAGCATCTTTCCTTTGTTTTGGAAAAGATATTAGAGGACCAGTGCCTAGATCCTTTTTGGCTGATTTAAAATACAAAGTAGACAGAGATTTTTTAGCCAGACTGCTTTTATTTCACACATAAACTTCCTCATGCTGTATTTCTGGTGTACACTTCATTACTTTCTAAAATAACTTTTCCTTATGTTAAAATATGTGCACATTTTTTGTAGACAGGCCCTTGAATACCTACAATGTCAATTCTTAGAGCTTTTAGTCCAGTTAATCATACCTGTGCATTAGATTTTTTTAGTATTCATTGAAGAGAGGTGCTGGTGGGGACCCAGAACCAAGGGCCTTCCGTGTCAGTACACATAAGTAGCCACTTCCCCTCATTCTTTCTCAGGCACAGTGTGTACAAATTAGTAGGGATTGTAGTTACCAGAGTTCTGGACATCTCTTAATCTGATGCAGTTCCCCGAATCACCTTAGCAATTAGGTCTAGAATATAGTGGAGTCTTCCCCATCATTAGTCCCTCAGCAGACCAGGGCTGGGAAAACAGAAGCTGCTGCAGGTTTTGCAACCCTTACCACCATTCCCCAGATGGACAAAGACTTGTTCTCCTCAAGGAGTTTCTAATGGAATAGAGTCTGTCTCTGATAATAGTGCTAGTGTTAAACGGGAAAATAATGTGTACATCAGATTTGTGTTTTATCAATGTTGTTTTGGTTGGATGATGGGGTATGAATTTAGAAAGTAAAAATTACAGATATGCCTACTTGAACCTAAATACGCATGTGCTCATATGCATAGACACATACACACACAAACAAGATAGTTTAACATTTCAAGGCTTCTGTACTGTTAGGGACTAAGTGCATTATACCCATGCACAGCAAGCCAGTCACTGTGAGGATGGGTTTTTGCAAAAGATAAAAGATTGTATTTACAAGCCTGCCATGTGAGGAGATGAGAGAACAAATCTCAAATCTGCTTCCCCCAAAATAGTACTTGGGTATACCTATGGGATAAGAAACAGGACAGTCTAAAGTGTGGGGAGAGGTGATTGGTGGGTAGAGAGGATGAGGTAATTGGGGTCTCTGGGCAAGTGTAGTCTAGCTACATGGTTCGCTGTAGGACATGCGCAGAAAACGGCAGCATTAGCATGATCTAAGAGTAGAGTTCTGGTTCTCTGATGTCAGAAGTTCCCTCCTCAGGCACCTGTGCAGGCCCACTTGAAGGATTGTTAGTCTCAACTGGCTTGACCTTGGCAAGAGCTATCCCCCAGTTCCTGAAAAAACAACTTTAAATGCCATTGCTGTAGTGACCCATGGTCAGAGATGTTAGCTACAAGGAAGCCAGTGGGACTTTTAAGATTGACTAGATGTAAGTGATTAAAAGTAAGTAAGGCAGATATGTTGGATGGGCAGGTGAGTTTAGCTCTTGGTTTCGCTATAGTATTGCTTTATGTTGGGTAGATTTTTGTTCTTTAACTGATAGGCTTTTTTCCTTATATAAGATTCCCATCCTCACCAGTGTTTCCCAATTTATACCTAAAGAATCTAAGGTGTATTGATTTATGTCACTTTATATTTTAAAAATATATATTTGTTACTCATTTACTATGTAATTACTGGGATATAAAGATCATTCAGACATGCCTCTTTTTACCTAATTCAATCTGAATAGGGTACAACATGAATTTTCTAAGATTGCTATAACAAATTACCACACAACGGGTAGCTAAAAACAGCAGAAATTTATTCTGTCACGGCTCTGGAAGCCAGCCGTCCAGAATCAGGTACTGGCAGGACTGGCTCCTTCTGAAGGCTTTAGACGAGAATCCTTCTTTGCCTCTTCTTAGCTCCTGCAGGCTTCTGGAAATCCGTGGCATTCCTTGGCCTGTAGCCACATCACTCCAGTATCTGACTCCCTCTTCACATGGCCAACTTTTCCGTGCATCTGTCTGTGAAATCTCCCTTTGCTTCTATCTTCTGAGTACATTTACAATGGCATATAAGGCCCATCAGGATAATCCAAGGTAATCTCTTTCTCTCAGCATTCTTAATTATATCACAAAGACCCTTTCTACAAAAAAGTAAAATTTACTCTCTTGCTATATAAAATAATATTCATAGGTTTATGGGATTAGGACATGGACAGATCTTTTTTTTGCAGGGAGGTGGGGGACACCATTCAACCCACTGCATAGGAGAAAAGAAATAATTGTACCAGGAATCTTTCATTCACAGTGATAGACATGCTGTTAATTCAAAGTTAAAATCCCACAAATGGAGAACTGGAAGGGCCTGTACAGGTTGTCAGCTACAGAAAGCTTAAAAGTTACTTTCCTGGCTGCACACAACTTCTTAGGGGTGTAGGAGGGAAAGAAGGCCATTTTCTTGGCACCTCACCCAGTGTTCTTTCCCTTCTGCCGTGCAGTCTCAAAAATCTTAGCAAGGGCACTAGAGCTAAGTACTTTATAAAACAATATGATAGACGTCAAAGGACGTCAGTGCAACAAAGGACCTTAGCCGTATAATGGAGTGGCCAAGAGCATCTATTCTTGAACTGAATCTACTTTTCAATCACTGCTGTTTTGACCTTGAGCAAGATACTTAAATTCATGCTTTGGGTTTCTAAATCTGTGGAGCAAAAATTATAAAAGTACCTTTCTCTTGGGGTTGTTCTAGGAAGTGAACTAATATACATAAAGCATTGGGGGTTAGCTGGACCACAGGAACACTCTGTAATGTTAGCTGTCGCTAACAAGTATCTAATCCAAATACCTTTTTTTACAGATGCTCGCAGGAGGTCCTGAGAGTTGTGACTCCCTCAAGGTTACATAGCTAGTGAATAACAGAGCTGCGACTCAAACATAGCTGTCTCCAACCTAGTTTGGTTCTTTGCATGCAGCGGCCACATTACTCACACCCCCTTGCCAGGGAAAGTTTGACATAAAGAACTTAGGTTATTGTTTTGAGCACATGATAGCTGAGAGACCTCGCCATCAATTTTATTAAACGTAAGCTTAGAAATGAAAATTTTTTGTATCTTTAGTGGCTAGAGAAGCCAGAATTCTAATACTTAACACATTAAGGCTGGTAAATGTAGAAATTGTTATTGATGTCACAGGTTTCAAGGTCAGACAGGAGACTGCTCAAATTCAGGCTATTGCAAAAAGAAAAAAAATATGAGGTTTGTATTTTAAGATACATGATAGTGGAAAATCAATGTGTTCTTGTGATTTAGGCAGATATGATACCTTCTGACTTTTTTAAGACCTTTCAAAAAATGATCAGGGAAAGGAAGTAATAATTTGGATGTTTGCTACTATAAAGAATTCTATTGCATTTTCAGAAATGATGACAAAGTATGCATTTCCTTTTATAACATTGAAATCACAGCTTCAAAGTGACCTGTGTTAGTAATTATCATCTTATTTATCAAAAACATATAAAAATCATGAAAAGTATTTTGTTCTCTGTATTTAGACATTAAATGTTGTAGTTAATGAGTGCTATTTCTAGAGATGTTTATGATTGTTTAGGAGATGTTTTAACAATCCACATACTGAGTACAGCAAGCAATATGAAGTAAGCATGGGAACATGAATCTTTTTTATGATAAAACTAGTTAAATTTAAAGGCTGGACAAACATTTGTGGTTTGCAAGACTAAATATGCCTTTTTTTGTAGAGGTCACTTTAGGAATAAAAGTGTATTTTGCTGTGACTGGTTACTTAGCATAATAGTAGAAGGTCTCCCAACCTCCCTCAAAAATTCTCCTGCAAGGAAATTGATTTTCTGATGGAAGGTACTGAAGGGTATCTTTAGCATCAGTGGAGAAGCAACTAATTTAGCACTATCAGTGAGTTAGATATCGGTATATTCCAAGCAGTAAACAAAAATTAAGCCATTCCTTGCCCTGTTTCTATTAGTCAGATTCCTTTGCAAGGAAATATGAATTATGGTCACCCTGGACTCTCAAATCACCTCTGATATTATGTGTTCTCATCCCTTTGGTTGACCTTTAATGACATTGTGTACATTGTCATTATATGATTACTATTTTTCTTTTTCTGGTTTTCTTTTTAAATTCTTTTATTTTGCTCAATTTTTTAACCTTAAAGGAAAGGTTAGTCTTAAGGTAGTTTTTATTTAATTCTAATGGATTTCAGCTTATTTAAACTGAGAAAACTTAATACCTGATTACAATTTTTATTTTCCTGTTCTCCAAGAATTAATTCTATTTCTTAAATTTTCTACTTATTAATTCTGATTAGCTTTTCAGAAAGTTGTCTGTTCTTATCCTAGGTAAAGAAAACCACTCAGATTCTTGAAGCCATGTTTAGATTAGCTTGCTATGCCTTTCCCTTCTTTCACTGAATAATGAGGTCTTTGCAAATTGATTTTTTTAACTAATACACACACACATACACACACACACACATACATGCACATATACACACACACAATTTCTCCATTGTCCTTACAGTCATTCTCTCCAGAAATTAGATAGCGGAGGCTTATGAGATGGTTTAGCCATCTGCAACCCTAACCATCCTAAGGCTTTCAAATAGGAAATGAAAAATAAAGCAAAGGACAACTGAAAAAAACAGTAAAACTCTAGTGTTTTGATGTTGAAAACAACGGGTAGAGGGTAAAATCAAGAACACTCGAGTGAGAATAAAATATAGAAGTTAAATGGAGTAAATTCATATTTGTTGAATTCTTCTACGTGAGACTCTTTGTTATATTTTGACATGGGGCATACAAAGTTGAACAGAGACACCACTGTTACTAGTACACTCATGTTACTATTAACAAATGCCCAAGGCTGGGTAATTTATAAAGAAAAAGGTTTATTTGGCTTACAGTTTGGCAGGCTGTACACAAAGCATGGCACCAGCATCTGCTTCTGATGAGGGCCTCAGGAAGCTTCCAATTATGGCAGAAGGAGGAGGGCAAACAGGCTTATCACATGCTGACAGAGAGCGCAAGAGAGAGAGAAGAGGGAAGTCCCTGACTATTTTTAACAACCAGGTCTCGTATGAACCCATTACCATGGGAGGACACCAAGCCATTCAGGATGGATTCACTCCCATGATCAAAACACCTCCCACTAGGCCCCACCTCCAACAACATTGGGGATCACATTTAAATAGAAGATTTGAAGGAGGCAAATATCCAAAACTTATCACTTATCTTTTACCAAAAATGTTTTCTACTTTCCATTGTGGGAATTTTTGTTGACAGATGGCTATTCAAAGTACTGTGTTTCCCAGCTTTTCTGTGAGTAAAGCCATGTGTCTTGAGTTCTAGCTAAAATAATGTATCCATACCTGATAAAACTGTAGCTCAGGGCTGACTGAAAAACAAAAAATCACTCTATACCATTCATCCAAGTTCCTCCACACTCATGTCCACTCCTGTATGACTGTAATCAAGAGAACCCCTAGGGTGACTGTTAGGGTCTGAACTATGTTCTTCCAAAATTTGTATGTTGAATGTAAAAAAAAAAATTTTTGAGACAGTCTTGCTCTTATCACCCAGACTGCAGTGCAGTGGTGCAATCTCAGCTCACTGCAACCTCCGCCTCTTGGATTCAAGAAATTCTCCTGTCTCAGCCTGCTTAGTAGCTGGGATCACAGGCGTGTGCCCCCATGCCCAGCTAATTTTTGTATTTTTAGTAGAAACAGGGGTTTCACCATGTTGGTCAGGCTGGTCTTGAACTCCTGACCTCTTGATCCACCCACTTCGGCCTCCCAAAATGCTGGCCTTTTTAAAATACATTCACATTCAGCCATGGTGCATGAGCCACCATGGCTGAATGTGAATGTATTTTAAAATAAGGCCTTTAAAGAGGTATTTAAGTTGAAATGAGCCTCTCAGGGGAGACATTAATCCAATCTGACTGGTGTCCTTATAAGAACAAAAGATTAGGACAAAAAAGAAGAGACTCCAGAGTGTCACTTGACTCCTGAACACACAGAGGTAAGGCCATGTGAGGACATAGAAACAAGGTGGCCGTCTGTAAGCCCAGGAGTGAAGCCTCAGGAGGAGTCAGACCTGCTCACACCTTGATCTTGGACTTTCAGCATCCAAAACTGGAGAAATAAATTTCTGTTAGTAAAGCTACCCAGTCTATGGTATTTTGTTATGGCACCCGTAGAAAACTAATACAATGACATTGAAAACCATATGTTAAATGAGGTAGATCCTTTATCATCTAGGGTCCTTGGGAGACCATATAAATTAGTCTTACTTCAGGCCTGCCAACCCACCTATTATAATCTGCACAAGAGTTGAACCATCTCTGTGTTTAAGTCATTCTTATATTTGGGGTCCAACTCATATAGCAGTTTGTTTACCCAAGCCAGCAAATGTTGTTTCTGCATAAAACAACCTTCTAATATGGGGCAGTGGTGGCTCAAGTAAATGTGGATATGATGTGCATGGAATTGAGCTGTGGATTAAGAGTGTCTGTTCCCTTACAAGTTGATGTTTCTATGATGCATTACGTGCTTAGCTCCAACTTTCAACCCCAATATTCTCATTCTGTCTTACACTAATAAGACAAGGGTACATATTTACTGCTGTAAGGGGTCAAAGGGCCATTAAATGCATAAATAGAGGTTTACGTAATTATAATACTGGGAGGTTCACTAAGGGTCTTCCTGACCAAATGTTATGTTATGTTGGGTCCTCTTGTATGCTGTCAGTAACCTACAGAGGAAGATTTCCTGTGAAACTGATGAAGCTAATTTCAGGACCCCTTGCTTGTGAAACTTGCTTCTAAAAACTCAGGAAGGACCCTATCAATGTGTTCACATGGTCGCTTTTCTTTTAAACTGCCAAAAAAATAAGACTATAAAAACATAATTAATTAAAACATTTGTTTTGTTGTTGTTGTTGTTGTTTTAATCTTCTGACTTCTTTCTTCATCTGTCTTCTCCTGTTGAGTGGTCTTGGAGTAGCCCCCAGGCATTTTTAGAATCGGGCTTATGGGGAAGTTGAGTTGGGTATACATTCAGCTTGAGTTTAATGAAATGTATTCGTTGTGGTTTACAGTTACTTTCTTGTATAATGAATTTGATACTATCCATCCTGTTACAGAAATGACTTCTAGGAGCATTCTTTAAACTCACTTTCTAACTCACCTTGCAGTATAACAGATATGTTCAGGGTCAGAGTTTAAATCTGAATATGAACCTGTTGCTAAGAGCCTAGCACTGAATTCAGAGGGTGCTCTTAAGTACCTTGGTTTCAAAAAAAAAAAAGTTGCATGAAGATGTTTGTTTTTGACAGTTATTCAAAGCTAAATGGGTCCAAGATTGGGTGTATTTACTTAGAACTGTGACAATTTCTTACATTTAAGGTGCTTTTTTAATGGACATGTTAATTAATTTGAGCTCAGCAACTGCTTTGTGAAAAACTTGAGTAAAGGGAAGTGTCACCTTTTTTGAAAGGAAAACAGGAGGTTTAGATTATATAGATTCTAATAAATCATTTGATTTGGACACATGGCTTTTCAACAATAACACACGATGCAGAATAGATGTCTTTTGAGTTTTGAATCAATGGTTTCTCTTTCAAAATACTGTGGCAATTAATCTGACTTCTCATTACTTTTATATGTCTGCAACTGATATAAGAGCTAAATTATCCTTTGTGATTTGATAAATGAACAAATGAATAGGTTCTCCCAAAATGTAGTATACATATTTAAATATAATTCCCCTAATTGACCAGCTTGAAGAAGTCTTGGGTTTCAATTCTGCATTGAACAAATTATATGACCTCTCTGATTCTTAGTTTCTTTATTTGAAAATAGTTAATAATGACTACTTCACAGAATTTCCTGAAGATTAAATAATATAACATTGTGGACTGCCTAGAATGATGGTAACTTTCAGTAGATGCTCACTAGATGTGAATTTCCTTCAGTTTTGCATCCATTTTTATCAAAGACATAGCTGTAAGTCTAGTATTTATAGGAGTATATTGGGGTACAACAAGTAAAATAATTTGGTTGAATTTGTGCAAACCTGTCTGTCCTTTTAGTCAAGGTGCTCAGGTCTCAGGTCTTGATCATGGTAAAGCATCATGCCACCTTCAGGTACTTTTATCTTCCCTTCCTTCTATGTAACAAGACTTAACTTGATACCATTGTAGCAGAAAGCAATGAATAATTCATTGGCCCTTGACCATAAGGGTTCATGGGCTTGCAGCAAATTATACCAAATTAGAGTACATAGTTTTGTTTATAACATCTTCATTCTCCATAATAACGATACAGGATAGTATTTTAACATAAAGTACTTGTATTTTCAAAGTATATTCATATATATATATATTTATATATATATGTCATTTGGCCATAACAAAAAAACAGAAATAATTTTGTCATTTCTGCTTTATAGAAGAAAAATAAAGTGAAAATCAGCAAGGTTAAAACTTTTGTTCCAGCTCACGCAGTTACTAAGCATCAAGTCTCAGACTGGTCTTGAACTTGCCACATGGAGTTTGGGCTTTTTTTGTGGTTTTTGTTTTTCTCCCAGAAGGAGTAGCATAGTGGAAACAGACTGCCTGGATGGCAAGCACAGCTCTGCTCCTTAACCTCTCTGTGCCTCAGCATCCTCATCTGCAAAATGGGAAATGAAAATACATATCTCTATGGCAGAGAGATGGTAGGGTGGTTCCCATGAACCTCATCTTCTGGTATTCTGATTTGTGTGACCTTTCTAACTCAACATGGGCAGGACCTGTGATGTGCTTCTACTCAATAGTACTGCAAAGGAGACAGGATAAATGTGATCATGTGTATGTGATGATGTCACATAAGATCGTAACAGATGTGTAAGGAGAGTCTATTTCTTGCTGACTTTAAAGAAGTATGTTATCATGCTATAAGTTGCTTATACAAAGGGCCTTGTGACAAGAAATTTGGGGCTACGTCAAGCTAGCAGCACACAAGTGGCCTACTTCAACAGTCCACAGGAAACTGAATGTGAGGAAATGAATTCTTTCCTAGCCTTGCCTCAGATGAGACCACATTCCAGGCTGTTATCTTGATTGCAGTCTTCCAGACAACCCAGCTAAGTTGTGTCTAGACTCCGGATCCACAGAAACTGTGAGATAACACATGCATATCGTTTTAACCCAGTAAATTTGTAGCCATTTGTTATATATCAATAGATACCTAATACATCCTAGTAGACCTATTATGGAATCAAATCTGTTAATAGGTAAAGTGCTCATATCTATGCCAGGTACACTGTAATAACTCAATTAAAGTTAGTGTCATCTTGCTCTATTCCTTAATCCAGGAAGGGAAGGAGAGTTTTAGAGTCATATCCTGGTATTTGTGTTCTTATATAATTAGCACCACAATGTCTGTCCTTTGTTATAATAGAAGCTCATTATGAGGCATTTATAAAAACCTATTTCTATGTTTATGCATAAACACGTATTTTTTGGTAGATGTGACTATTGCCTTAATTGTCCTATAGGGTTTTTGAAATGAAGCAAGGCTACACAGTATTTAAAGAAAGTAGTATCATGGCTTATTAAATAAGGCATTTGATTACAAGTGACAGAAATACAAGTTGGCTTA